AACTATTTTGATATTTCTACTAATGGGATATCATCAAAGAAAAAATTATCACTATTTTAGTATTAATGACTTCCCATGCAATAATCAAACTATCAAGCGCAATCTTCGTAATTTTATCTACACAGTAAATATTGTTAGTGATTAATTTGGGTCATATTGACAAACAACATGAATAATAACAATATTAAAAGTTTTACAGTTCTGAATGGTATATTAATACGTTATACACCATAAAAATGATTCGAAATGTATTATACTTCAGCATAGTTATTGTTGGTAAATTAAATGAAACAGATTTTTAACTCCCGGTTATTTTTGTATATATTTTTTTATTTTTTCAATTTTTTCATACTAACTTAAAAACATTTTCATACTCGAAGTGTTAAAAATAGCCATCAGAGATTATGAAAAATATGAATATTGCCGCTTCACTGTTTGTGATTCGCATTTCCGTAAGAATCAAAATCTGTATAGACGGTTTGTGTGTTGGAGAAATGGTCGTATAAGAACACACATCTGCACAGTCTATTCAACGAACAAGGTTAACTAATGTGGATTTCGAAATCGTCTGACCTCTACTGATTTCTGGGAGAGCAGCTTCCAATATTGAACAATATATATACAAATCGTGAGAGAGGCGCCTCAATTCATAAGACGTATTGAATATGCGACACAAATTTTTCACTTAGCTAATCTTCTAGTTACTGGTTAACTGATGACTTACTTACTTACGCCTGTTACCCCTAATGGAGCATAGGCCGCCAAAAAGCATTCCTCAACTTACTCAGTACTGAGCCTTCTTTAACAGTTCTGTCTAATTTTTGGTTCATTCGTCTCATTTCTGTCTCCATTTCTCGACATAATATGTTCTTTGGTGTTCTTCTGTGCCTTTAGACTTGAGGATTCCAACCTAGCACCCTCCTCCTGACACAGTAGGTTGCTTCCTTCAATGTTTGTCATATCTAACTCCAGCCACAGTAGGTTGTTACTGTTGCTGTCTGGCCAACGGATCCGTAGTATCTTGTAAAGAAAATTGTTAATGAACACTTGTATCCTCTGGATGATCAATTTCGTAGTTTTACAATTTTCCGCCCCACACAGTAGAACTGTCTTGACAATTGTATTTGAAAATTGTGACTTTGGTGTTGATTGATAGTTGTTTTGAGTTCCATATGTCGTTCAATTACAGAAATTCAGGCCTTGCTTTGCCGCTGTAGTTCTCGCATTTGCTGAAGTTTCCTTTCATTGGCATCTTGATCAAATATCCTTCTTTTCAGTCTGTTGGTACTTGTTCTTCATCCCAAATCTTGTTGAACAGAATGTGGAATATCTTCGCAGTTCCTGTTACATCTGGTTTCAGTGACTCAACTGCAATGTTGTCTGGTTCCGCTGCTTTGCCGCTCTTGACTTGTCTGATGGCCATGCTGATCTCTTCAATTGTTGGTGAGTCAACATTGATTAGGCGGTCCGTGGGTAATGCTTCGATGTTAGGTGAGTTCAGTGGGGCTGTTCGATTCAAGAGTTATTTGAAGTGCTCTACCCACGTGGATGGTTATTCTTCAGTGTCAGTGATTACTTTTCCTCCCTTGATTTTCACTGGCTGCTCTGGCTGACTATTCTTCCCAGTAAGCTTCTTCGTCGTACCGTATTAAACTTTTATGATGCTGTCCGCCCAGATTACCAGTGCTTCTTCGGTTTCTGTTTCATCTCGGCCATCAGCAAGTGATGAGCTGAAGTGATTTCAACCCCTCTCTTTTTTCTTACGTTCTCCATGGTCCTTCCGTACCTTATTCACGCTTTCTATTTAATGTAACTGAACATTCATATAACCCTAGGGAAACACTATCCATTTCTATCGACCTAGAAACTCTAGAAATCAATGGAGACATAGCTGAAGTGAACGTAGATATTCAAGTGAATAACGAAAGCTCTAAACCTAATGAAGAGTCAGCTGATGACAGTGTTAAAATTTGTGCTGGATGTCAATAGTTTCAATCGTTAAGTATCGAAAACGGTACTGTTAATTGGATGAGATGTTCGAGATGCAGCACATTCATTCTTCTAGTCGTCCTGCAAGTATCGCTGAGGGTGATCTTCTGTTCATGGAGTGTTAGGATAATTATAATGTGGTCATTGGTAATGTCGTAATACTTTTCATTGCAGATATTAACGAGCGTTCAATTGCAGCTTAATGTGGCCCTCATTAGGACCACTTCAAAAAGCTGACTTAATAATATGCCTTATTTTTCTATTTATTGTTTCAGCACTAGTTTAGTCACACAATAGAAGTAACTATAACTTCTTTGCTAAGTGAGTGTCACATATAGCATAAAAAAGAATAAATATGAATTTATACATTATTGACGTTTACATTACGTCCCGTTTTTTTATTTGGAATCGGTAATATTCCTAGACAGATTGACCTATTTATTTAAGGCTAAACAGTTGACCTATATCAGATTATCCCAATTCTATCAACTATATTTTCAATGAATTCAGTAACAGCTTACAAGTGGATATTATATTTCATGACAGAGTATACATAGTAAAACTATCTCTAATTACGACTGTACAGTTTGAAAAATGCCATTGTCCCACAGCCCACTTTGTTCATTTAAACGTCGACACTTTTTTTTTAAAATTGTTGAATTGATCCTACCTTGAATATTTAGAAAAGATCTGTCATTTAATTCTATTTTTTCACTTGTTATGGATTAGATTAATTTGCTTTCAGGCAAAATATTCACTATGATTATGATGAACTTGTGTCTAAATAAGACTGGACCTTCTAATTTCATCCAATTCATTCTCATGTACCAGTGTATTTATACACTAAAGACATCTTAACATTGTTGAATTATTGGCATTATACGTATGTGCTCTGTGGCAAAAGTTAACAAATGACCAGTTATGAGTGTTTTCTATTTTTCATCTCATTCATAATTCTAGTGACTTTTAAGTTGACGCTTAAGTCAGATTTAAAATTCATGTGTTGTTGTTTGTTTTTAAGTGGAATAATCTGAAAAAAAAAATTGATTTACAAATAACTGAACCATGTATTTAGTTAGGCATACATTTCCTAGTATTTTCTTAATTTGCATTTCAATACTGACAATTTGTATTTCTCATTCAAAGTTGAATGATGCACATTTAATAATCCTGTAAATCCTTAGAAAAAAAAAACTTTTTTTAATGAATGAATAAAATTACACCAAGATTTAAAAATCTTCAGCATCATCATCATAACAATAGAGTATTGTGTGTGTGATAATAAAAGTGTACTTGAAATTCTACTTGAAATTGATCTCTTTCTACAAAACACATTCAAAAGTGGTTGTTGCTTTTGATTAGAGAGTAAAGCTATGAAGCGTGATGAATACACAAAAGCTCTTGGAACAGGTAAACAATGAGCATTCATTTTAAGTAACATGATAAAACAACTTTTTATCAGCTTATGATTCCAATCATCCAATGAATATTACCCACTATCTAAGATTGCAATGAAAAAGGTTGGGTATTATTTAAACAACCTCTACTGAGAGCCTTTCTAGGGTTAATGCAGGTCGCAGGCCCGGATAGAGAGGGAGGGTTTAGAATAGGGTTAGCGACCACATTCCGTAGAAAACTAACTCGCTAGAACAACGCTGACCAAAACACATAATTCAAAAAGATTAAAGTCTGTCCTGGAAGTTGGAAGGTCTTCATTTAGAAGAGTTATGACGCCATGTAATGAAAGCCAAGTCACGAGGCCCATGATCATTCTCACAACCGAAGCAACTTTAATACAGGCACAGAGAATGTCCGCACAGTGTGCGAGACCGAAAAAACCATTCAAGTTGTTGCAGAAATGTAGAGATACTACTTCGTGGTGCACATAGTAAGCAAATCAAGTCGAGCGAATCATACAAGTAATGTTAAAAAAGAAATTTTTCATTGTTATTCCTCATGATCTTGCCTATTACGAAACTTGTCAACATTATTGGTACCCGTTTAAATATCATCATCATAATCATTTTATGCTTAATCTGAAGTTACTGTCAAAGTATCTAACCCAGATTTTGTTTTACATTGACGTGAATATGTACACAATGATTAGCTATAAATATACTCTCTTCATCATTTGATAGATAATGTGAAATGAAGTTTCGAATGTAGAAATATATGCAGAATAATGTCGGTACTGACTTATAGAATGAATAATTCAATCGAATATTTATCAGTTAAGACAAGAAAGTAAAATTATATTAATAAATTTATTTATCACACAGGGATAACATGAAAAAGTTTATTTTATTAACCAAAAAGTCTCACAAATTTTTCTTAAGATGTACATCATTTAACTAGTTTATGATGAGTTTAACGATAATATAACAATTCAATGTTGAATATCTCTTACAAATAATCACTAAGTTTAATGAAATTTTTACTGTGACTTTTAAATGAAGATATTTGTTCTAGTCTTAATAGTAACTACACTCCTGTACTTACACATTCAGTAGTGAAGTGAACGAAAGAATATCATCTTGACTATAAAATAATAGTAGTCGGTTGATACCGATAAATTTTTGCTATAACATATTAGCTATTACAAGGTATGAACAATTAGGAGAGCCTTTTAATACTGAACGGGATCTGCGATCAATACTTAACAATACCTCAACCCTTAATAGTCTACGTGCAAAAAAGAGAGTGAAGAAGAGATCTTCAGAAGTGTTTGAACATTTTGAAAACAGCATCCAAAAATATAATGCAACAATTCTGTTCAGACAATATCAACAGTGACCTTAAGAATACAGAAAATAAACTAGTCAGAGGTTAGAAAATATCAAAAACTACTTAATCACATTGGGATGAGCTAATAACTGCTGTGAGTGTATTGAATGAACTGATAAAATACTAAACCCAAAGTTATACATATATATTAGAGGGGAAAAAACATTGTTATAGTAAAAAGAATTAAAAAAACATACAAAATAATTTTATGTAAAATTGTGACTTACTCTCTTGTACTTGTTACATTTGTCAACAAAATGAAATTAGCTCGAACTTTTCTCAAACTAGCCAAAATTTGAGCAAATGGTGTTACAATAGGTTCATCGGGTTGACTAAAAATACAAAGAGAACCACGTCTTAATACAGCAGTTCTAGAATTAGTTGTCATATGATGTAAATTAGGACTACGTGTTTGGAAATGCCTGAACATGGAATTCATTGGAATAGGCAACTGTCCCAAACTATCCTCTGGTAGTTCAGAACAACTTTCATGATTATCATGATCCTTTGGTGTAACAATATTTTCGTAAGATAATTTAATTGGTGAAAGTAACTTTGAATGTTTAATATGTTTCAATGAGGATTTCGCTTTAAAACTACTAGATAAATCATGTGTTATAGTAGGTATCAAGTTTACTTTGTTATTGGCTATGTTACATTTTTGTGAGCTGACTGAATTTAAACTGTCCTTCGATTTATGAAAACGTTTTAAAGGTTTCACTTTCAAAAGACTAAGTCTCTTTTTGGAAGTTATCTTTTTCCCATGATCACCACTTCGAGAAGAATCCGATTTTCTAGCTTGAAGCACTTTATGACTAACTGTTAATTGTTGTTGATTTGCTGAAATTAGACTGTGAGCTCTTCGTTTGCCTAACATAGAATCACTATGTCTTTCATTTAATTTTAAATCATTACTGACAAATTTTTTGTTGAAAAAATCAGGAGAATAACTACCATCCAAATTAATACTTTCCGATTCAGCTAATCTAGCTTTAGTTTCCAATACAATTGTTGGTCTTCGTCCAGTTTCATAGTCAATCTGTAAACTAGGTCTTTGAATTGATGCTGACGTAATATATTGGTTTACAGTTAAATTTGTTGAAGGTATCACAACATCAGGTAGACTTCTTCTCTCTTGTCTTGGATAATATCCATTTCCAGTATTGTCATGAGTATCACCCTCTATTTTCGAATGAACGTTTGTATCATTTTGGAGTTTACAATTATCATCTTCTTGATTATCATCATCAACTTCACTGTCACTATTTCCTTTACAATAACAATTGAGAGAGTACTTTTGATTCAGTTCGTAATTATCTTTTTTTCTGTTTCTTTTTGATTCCTGTTTACGACAACAAACTATCCACATCATTATATTATCGTAATAATTCTTATAAATCCAATTTAGCCTTTTTCTTTATTACATTAATATCACATTTTATGTAATTTGAGTAAACAGAATTTACTTCTGCAGTCAACATCATTGTTATAATGTTTTAAGTAATGCGTTATTTATTTAAAAATGAAAGGCATTGTATATATTAAATGGAATAGTATGGAAATGTGGAAAAAATAACGTGTAGTTTCTAGAATATTGCATTTTCATAAAGGTAAAGCAATTTTCCTACTGTTTTATTCTTTTACTTGAAAACATCATGCAACCGAGGGAAATTTTCAACCACCTAACGATTGGCTATCTTCGATAAAAGCTATTTTGCCTGTCTTCTTACCTGGATAGTCTGTCATGAAATTATCGATCAAATGCCAACCTACGATGTATTATGTCCAAATTCACTTTTCTATCTGACTGACCTTGAAGATTGACCAATCATAATCGTGATTAACCCACTCTCGTTGAAATTGGAAAAATCCGCATACTGGGCTGACTGAACTCAATTTCAAGTTTATGTAAATGGCAACATCTTAACAGTTCCTATGTGGTTAGGTAAGTATTAGGTAGGATGGCGGGTTGTGTAAAGTTAATGTGAGATAAACTCAGGCATCAGTAATTGATGGAAGAGTGGTGACTAATGATTATCGCTATAGTTTTACTTCTGTTTTTATGGAAGAAAAGGTTATTAGTCATACAGAGAGTGTTTTTTAATTTGCTGAAACTACACTACAAAAAATCGTAAGGAAAAAGAGTATTATTCGACTTTCGACATCAAAACACTTTAATCTTCATGTAGTGAGGTATATTGTTCTGTGTTTGTTATCAGATACAGTAGATTTCTATAATGAATTTGTGTGAATTTTTTGAATAAACGTTGAGGCGAATCAATCAATTTAGACATCGCGCTTGCTATATCAGTTGATAAAGGATGTTTGACAAGTCATTTTTTAATACTCATACACAGTTATATACTTTTCTAGATATACATAGAACCAGACAGATCATGTAATTATTAGACGTGTTATTTTCCATAAAATTAATCACACTGTATGTAATCTGACACAATTAACTATTGACGCCTTATTTATATGCCCTTTTATGTATGTGTTCGTATGAGCCTTATTCAACTGTCTTTCACAACGGGTTTCGTTTTAGAATACATTCAAAGATAACTCAGGGGTTACTTAAACTCAAATCAGTCGGAATCAGATGGTGCTGAAGTTTTCAGAGTTTTCAGACAGCTAACTTTATTTGTCTAGCTTTTCAATCAGAATATTAAACTCTCCATTTACACTTGAAGAATCGAGTATATGATGTTATAACAACACAGATCATAGGGTAGTCAGAAAACTATATTTCTTGATAAATGATTGTTAGAGGTGTTTACATATATTTCAATGACGAAAAAGTAATATTTTATGACAAGTTAACCAGAAAACGCAGTTTGGCTTCATCAAAACTACGCCTATAGCCTTTCTAGGATTACTGTTGGTACCAAGCTCGGATGAAGAAGGAGGGTTTAACATTGGTATTAGCAACCCGATCCCATAGAAAACAAACTTGCTAAAAAAATGAGCTAACCAGAAAATACAAGAGATGAAGTGTTCTATAATTGAGTGAAAAGATTTTCGGTTATTCACTGACCAGTGCATCATAGTTATCCGACTATCTTCGTACTTAACTCCAAAACGATCGATTTTCTTTCGTAAAAATAACTTTTTTTTAGTATACTGCATTTATAGGTTTTGAAATTAGCATGTTTTCATGTCATAAAAACCTTTCTAGTAGACATTTTGGGATTTTAACACGTCAATTAGTATATGAATCTCCGTTGCATATTTTTTTTAAATATGAAACCTGTTAACTGAAAAAAACGGGTAGCGTATTTTCAATGAAGACACAAACCTATCAATATTTTAGAGAATTAACTTTGTTTAAAAATTTATTGAACATATTAGTAATCTAATAAGCTTGCAGATAATCTTGAAATACTTGAAGCAATGGTAGTACGTTCATATTTATAATAAAAATGTACTAGTACATACATTAAAATTTATTCAATCGCAAAATTAATTGGATTCTAATGCAAAAAAGAAAGACACAGAATCTGTAATTCTATAATCCTTAACATTTATTTTTAATGCCCATAAAAAGTTACTTACTATTCATAAGGATTGTTAATGTTAACAGGAAAATGTTCATTTAAATTCATATATTCTAGTATATGTAGATTAATTTCATCTATTTCCACACACCATACACAACCAACACACCAGTAACATAGACTTGTTAGTTAAGAATTGTGTTTCATATGTAAACAATTAATAGTAAAGATTATTACTGTCACAGTTGTTGAATACTTTAAAATCAATTTTGTTTTATTATTAACTGATTTACATAGAATGAATGCAATTTTCCAAATTTTCATGAAAGTTAATTTGCTGTGTAATTTTTATTTACCTCTGTTGTATAGACCAGTAAACAAATAGATATTTTCTTATTGAATAATAAAGTTGTTTCTTTCGTAAAATTAAAAATTAACTTTACAGGATCATGTCAATTCAAGTAAATTGAACTTATGATTAGTATTCTTCTAGTCAGAATCACAAAAAGGAAGAAGACATTAGTTAGACTACTAGTGAAAAGTAATTATGACTGGATATGTGCTAGTTCGACAGTTCTACTATATGGAGCGGAAATTTGGAGAACTACCAAAGCCATCATCCAGAAGATACAAGTGTTTATTAACAGTTGTCTACGCAAAATACTTCGGATTCGTTGGCCAGACACTATCAGCAACAACTTACTGTGGGAGAGAACAGACCAGATTCCAGTGGAGGAGGAAATCAGGAAGAAGCGGTGGAAGTGGATAGGACATACACTATGAAAAGCACCTAACTGCGTCACGAGACAAGCCCTCACATGGAACACTTAAGGCAAAAGGAAAAGAGGAAGGCCAAAGAACACATTACGCCGAGAAATAGAGAAAGACATGAGAAGAATGAACACACACTGGAAAGAACTAGAAAGAGAAGCCTAGGACAGAGTTGGTTGGAGAAAACTGGTGGGCAGCCTATGTTCCATTGGTAGGCAACATGCGTAAGTAAGCAAGTAAGTAAGTATGTGCTAGTTCGTCCTAGTATGGGACTCTTGAACGGTGTTCATCCTCCAATCCACATCTGACTAAGGCAAAAATCTTCGGTATTGCAGCGAGCACTCAATCTTTAAACCACTCAGTCGTAGCTTACATTGTGCATTAATCTAAAATGAGATGATCAGACTAAGACAAAACAGCTGTTCGATTGTTGTCTAAGATCAATTCATGATATAATTTATGTTGATTATCAATAGGTATTTAAAATTTTTTGCTGTTTAATCATCCTGTTCTGAATGCTAAAAACCATCCAACTAAATACTACTTGTAATACATTTGAAGATCATACAAGAGAAGAGAAATGTCTCGAATTTACTTAACTGTTCTTCGACTAAAATTTTTGAGTAGCTGTTTGGTGGTATCTTGTCGTATAGTTTGAACTATGTGATGTCTCTCTTGTTCTCAATTTCCTTAAGCTTGTTAATTATGGTTTTACGATCTACCAAGAGAAAAAATTTGCAATCATCTGATCACAAGGATCAGTAGACAATACCCTGTAATTAAATATCTTTTTCAATGTTTGTAATTTTTATTCATTTGTGACTTGTTAATTTACTTGTATGATGGAGTAAGTTATAAGTAAGAAAAGTTCATTTGTTCTGTTTCCTTAATTAAGCGATTGAAATAGACAACGATCTATTTGATTTACAAATAATTTTGCGAATGTGATAATTAACTTAATCAGTTTATTGTTAGAGACAAAAATTATAAATAATCGTTTACACTATCATGTCTTGAATATTGGATACTTTGATAAGATTCAAAATGATATATACTTTTTGGCCGATTTTCAAACAAACAATGTTAGTTAATAAACCGGGCTACTTAAAGATTCTCATATAAATTCTATATCGATTCTGTTTACTTTCAATTCTTGTTCTGACTCGAGAACAGTAAAGAAAAGTGTAATTATTACAAAATACTAGACAGTAGGAGAACATAATCAGTCAGTTATAATGTAGAACTTCGTACGTACATACATCAGTTCAAGTGGCCATACCATATTAGCACAGACGCAATTGTCAATTCAAATCCCATATTAGTATAGGTAGTAGAGGTATTAGCAGTAATCGAATATATCATTCAGGATATATACCCCAGAGAAGTTTCATGTAATTCAAAATTTAATAGCCTATAGTAACTGAACAGTTGAACCTAAACAAAGTCGATACCGAAACAGTAACCATTGTTCTCAATATTCGTTACGTTCAATTGTTAAACGTCCTGATGAAAGCATTTCGCAACGGTCGATATTTTTTGATTCTATATTTTATTGTAAGAACCATATGGTTGGTTAGGAAGTCACTTACACTTGCCATAATACTAGTGATAATGTTTTATTCATGTATAAAGATCACTGTTAAGCACCGATAGTTGACAATGATCTTTTTATCTCTAAATATTAGTTTACCCATCCGTTTTTCAATCCTCAGTTTAGTATTGTCAGACATTTTTTACACTAGACAGGTGTTACATTATCATCGCAGAAGCATTTTTAAACATTTGAATTCTTTTGTATTTGTCTGTTGTGAGTATGTCAATGTAACAACTTCAAACATGGCCGATGGTAAACACACCGAAAAATTTGTCAATACTTCCTTCAATACTACATCCAATCAAATCGACACAGAACTCTTCTGTTAAGTAAGTGAACAGAAAAACTTCCGACAAAGGTGAAACACAGAAATCACTTCAAAAGTGTACTTTTATTTCGCATCTTTCAGCACAGAAGTATTCACAATCATCCCTTCTTTTTCGTTTCTTATTGATATAATGAAGTAAGTAAGAGATCACTGATGTGGATTTATAAGTTGAACATATTTACAGTCATATAGAATGACCGCGAAAAAAGTGTTTATTTTTTTTTAAAAAAATTTATATTTT